CTCTCTCTCTCTCTCTCTCTCTCTCTCTCTCTCTCTCTCTCTCTCTCTCTCTCTCTCTCTCTCTCTCTCTCTCTCTCTCTCTCTCCCCCTCCCCGAAGCCCGTTTTTTTCGGAGAAGAAGAGGGTGGGACGGAGCCTCATTAACAGCCGCAGTACTAAGGGGGTCTGGCGCTCCCGGAACGCCGGACCCCTTTGGTGCTACGGGGGATGAAGGGGGTCCGTCCCACCCCCTCGACACCCGCAGCACCGAACGCCGGACCCCTTTGGTGATGCGGGGGATGAAGCGGGTCCGTCCTACCCCCTCGTTCCTCCCCCTTGATGGACCCCCCACCCCCCACCCTGGCCCTGCGGGGGAGGGAGGGGGTCCGTCCCACCCACTGGATGCCCTCAGCACCAAGGGGGTCCGGCGTTCCCGGAACGCCGGACCCCCGCGGTGTTGCGGGGGAGGAGCGTGGTCCGTCCCACGCCGTCGGTGCCCGCAGCGCCAAGGGGGTCCGGCGTTCTGGGAACGGCGGACCCCCTACGTGCTGCGGGGGAGGAGGGGTTCCGTCCCTCCCCCTCGATGCCCGCAGCACCAAGGGGGTCCGTCCCACCCCCTAGGTGCTGAGGGGGAGGGTGGGGGTCCGTCCCACCCCCTCGATGCCCACAGCACCAAGGGGGTCCGCCGTTCCCAGAACGCCGGACCCCCTGGGTGCTGCGGGGGAGGAGCGCGGTCCGTCCCACGCCGTCGCATTGCCTAGCGTGGCCTCTAAACCTAGAGTTTCCCCTCGATGCCCGCAACACCAAGGGGGTCTGTCCCACCCCCTCGATGCCCGCAGCACCAAGGGGGTCTGTCCCACCCCCTCGATGCCCGCAGCACCGAGGGGGTCTGTCCCACCCCCTAGGTGCTGCGGGGGAGGGAGGGGTTCCATCCCACCCCCTCGATGCCCGCAGCACCAAGGGGAACCCCCTAGGTGTTGCGGGGGAGGAGCGCGGTCCGTCCCACGCCCTCGGTGCCCGCAGCGCCAAGGGGGTCCGGCGTTCCCGGAACGCCGGACCCCCTAGGTGCTGCGGGGGAGGAGGGGTTCCGTCCCACCCCCTCGATGCCCGCACCGGCAAAGAGGTCCGGCGTTCCGGGAACGCTGGACCCCTTTGGTGCTGCGCGGGATGAAGGGGGTCCGTCCCATCCCCTCGATGCCCTTTGGTGCTGCGCGGGAGGAGGGGGTCCGCCCCGCCCCCTTGGTGGCCACGGCACCTTCGTGCTGCGGGGGAGGAAGGGGGTCCGTCCCACCCCCTCGATGGCCACAGCACCTTGATGTTGTGAGCGAGGAATGGGGTCCATTCCGCCCCCTCGATGGCCACAACACCAAGGGGTTCCGGCATTCCCGGAATGCTGGACCCCCTTCGTGATGTGGAGAGGGAGGGGTTCTGTCCTGCCACCTCTCTCTCTCTCTCTCTCTCTCTCTCTCTCTCTCTCTCTCTCTCTCTCTCTCTCTCTCTCTCTCTC